GTACGTAAATTTACATTAATTTTGCAACTCCAATTTGAAGAAATTATTTTTTTCTACTGTTACCAACATTGCTGATCATTAATTAGTTTTTTGTGTCCCCACTAGTCATTCATTTGACATGCTTAATTAATTTTCACAATATTTTGTACTTATTTATGTGTGATTTATTTGTATGAAACTTGGAACACTACTTACTATGAAATGTGCCCTGTACCAAATTTCCTATAGCTACTTTTATGTTTATTTTGTTGCAGGAAGGTGGGGTCACAACACCACGAGTGGTTGTGTTCTTTTTGTTTTGCTATGACCTGCTAATGAGAGTTATAAACAACAATACCCTGATACGTTTAGTAATGTTGGTTCGAAGATACATTGTTGGGAGAGTAACTATATGGGTGCAGCGTCAAGGAGGATGGGTATGAGACACCTTCTCATTATTATTAAGGTTGCTTGAAAACTTTTCTCACATGACAATTGTGCAAGAAATGTTCTTATCAGGGTTAACATTGAAGAAAGGGGACAAATCATAGTTTGGATCTGAAATTAAAACTAAAACACAAGAATTTTTGGGCATTGATTATAAAATTAAACTGTCGTGCTTCACCAATATAAATTATTTTTGTGGTGCATCATGATTTCTCCCCCCCCCCCAAGCCCTTACAGGCTGTAGTTCTTCAGCAGTCCGTGATCAATGCATATAGGAGCGCAGTGACACTATTTTGCTGCTTTGGAATAGTGGCTACGTGTGTGTACATACGCAATGACAGGCGATAGCAGCAAATTGCTTAGTTGTTATCAGTTATTTATGTGTTTATATTTTTGAAGTCTATTTTTATTATTATTGACTAGATAGTGGGCGTACTAGAAATTTGGAACAGGTTTTCAGAATTCCCATACAGGGATTCATGGAAATGCTGCATTAATGCAGCACATTCATTGTCATTTTGCACAGCGCATTGAACTATGCATTGCTAATCAGGGACAACACATTGAACATATATTGTAATGTAATATCAATAAACCGTTTATTATGTATATTCACCTATGTTTCCAGACTTTATGGCCACTCTGTACTGTTCAGGCAGTATTTATTCAACATTTGCTGCATATTTTTATGCAAGGAATCACTTTGGAGGTCTTGTGCACATATTTTTCACCCTGTGTAATATTTTCCATGAATTTCAGTAGGTCCAGTAAAGAGCATATGACAGTAAGTCCAGTTCTTTGTTTAATTTAAATATGTTTATTGTCTCTTTCAGGCTGTAGTTCTTCAACAGTCCGTGATAAATGCATATAGGATTGCAGTGACACTATTTTGCTGCTTTGGAATAGTGGCTATATGTGCGTACATACGCAATAACAGGCGATAGCTGCATATTGCTTAGTTCTGGCGTGCAGTTGTTATCAGTTATTTTTGTGTTTATATTTTTGAAGTCTATTATTATTATTATTGACTAGATTGACTATATTAGAAATTTGGAACAGGTTTTCAGAACTCCCATGATTAAGACTGAAGTAGAACAAAAAGTGGAGTAAAAATGTTTGTTACATTTTAGGCGTTGTAAAATAAATAAAATATTCTGTAGAAGGTTTGGCCCTTCTCGAAGGTATCACCACCTTGTCGAAGGCAATCTGCCGGGTGAGGAGGCTTGCGTGCTCAAATGACCCTTAGGGCTATGCCGGCCTGAGCTTCGGCTCATGGTAGGGTCACCCAAGCCGGACAGGTCTAAGGAGATGCGCTAGACTAAGAGTGATACCCTGGTCCTCCAGGTTGGGGGTTGGGGGTAGGGCTAACAACCTTTCACCTTTAAAAAAAAAATAGGTGTTACGAAAAAATCAACCAAGCCTCGGATCAGGACGGACTCTTTGGCACGACCACGGCAATTGAAAAAGGACATGAGATTTGGTACTTGGAACATTAGGAGCCTCTATAGGGCTGGGGCACTGAAATCAGTG